ATAAATCATCAAGGCGGACGTCGTGGTGTAAAGAAAAATAAATTAAGGTGTAATATATTCTGTAAATAGACAGTAGATTTTAAGTGTATAAATTGTTATCCCGGAATAAAACGTAATTGTTTAAATATTGTGTTGGTTTCAATTCACCACGGAGGAACGTTACAATATGTTTAAAAAAAACTAGTTGTTTTCGTGAAATTACTGTCTCGAATTAATGAAATAGTATATACGATTACTAGTGTCCCACCTACTACGGATCATAAGAAAAATCCTCACAGAACAGGAATGGATCAAAAGGATACAACAAATAATTCTTTTAAATTTAATTATAATGTACTGAAAATCAGATTTTCACTCTATTCCTGAATTTGTATTCTCAATGAATTGATATATGTATTTTCAAGCAATCAGCAAAACCTTGATTTAAATTTACCTAATTAGGTTTTCTAACACGATTAAAATGCATTCGAAAGAAAAATTGAAAAACGTGAGTAAAATATGTTTGTAAGAACTTTTATTTATCTGTAATTTTATATTACCCCATACGCTGCCTTGAGCAACAATGCAGCAATGGATATTTTTTAGAAGTTCATTGTTGAACGGCGACATGATAGTAAAGATAAGCAGTTTTTATTTACGTTTGAGTTACCATGTCTCTATGTTCAATAAAATAGTATATTGAAGTTTATTAAAGTCAGGAGAATGTGTATAAAGATATGCATACGGTAATGTTATTATAATTTCGAATGCATTCTTAATGCGATTGGATTCCTAATGCGGATGGCCTTTAGTTTCGGAAGTTTAATTTATAAGTGAAATTATTCTTGCTTGCCTATATGATGTGCTGCAAATAATCCGAGAAAGTTGTGCCGCTGTAGCATTACTAGTTTTCTTTGTATTGCCTCCTGGACATTATCGGTAACTCATAATTCATTTTTCCTATACGTATCTGCCTCCATTCTTCCCAGAGTTTTGAAAGCTACGTCATGAACACACTGTTTTAACCACTCAAACTGTTCGTTTGTTGAACCGTCCTTGAACTTTCCCAGGAAATCTAAGCTTATTTACGAAACTAACAGTACCATCTTTTCACCATCAGTACCATCTTAATAGTTCAATATTATATATAGAAACAATCTAATTTTTGCTATCTTTGTCTACTAGAAGCTACTCAAAATATTCGAGAATTTCACTGCAAACATCAGAAAACTATACTTACGTCCTAAGTCCTCCGTCACCTTGGGCATGTACTCGTATGCAACGATGCCAGCGTTGTTCCCATTTTTGGAAACATTCCTGGAAGTCCGCAGGTTGAAGGATGATTAGGACCCGTTGCAATCTACTGGGATGTCTTCTATGAAATCGTCGACCTTTCAATGCAATTTGCATTTTCGGGAAGGTTGGGGAACCGTTGCCATGCTATTTTGGGGGCAGGAATTCCTTCACAACGATCGATACGTGCGCGGGTGCGTTGTGCACCAGCCAGTCTTTCTTTTCCCACAATTCTGGTTGTTTGCGCCGAACGTTTTCCCTCAGTCGCCTCTAATCCTCGCAGTAAAACTGCCCATTGTCAGTCTGAACAGAGGGAACAAACTCCTTATTCATAATTCATGCACTCTTATGATAATTTCTGGTGTTGTGCCTTCCTTGAAGCGCTCGAACCAATCAAATTTCCTTGCTTCACTCAGCGCACTCTCACCAAATGCATCTGTCAGCATACGGTGGGTTTCAGCTGCAGTTTTCAATTTGAAACAGAATTTGAAGCAAATCAATTGCTCCTTCCCGTTATCCATTTGTGAATTCGCAGAAGCACTGATACAGACGCTGACACGCGCCATTACTATTCACAACTGAATGCGCCAAAAATTACGCAACTTTAGCATTGCAGTAACTAAAACAAGTACCTAGATATATATATCTAGCGTCGCAATGTCGTACTGCTACTGGTTTCACTGGTGCAATGAAATTCTCGAATATTGTGGGTAGCACTTCGTATTTGCACGACCTCGGTAGGTTTGATGTAGTTATATACTAAGGCAAGACGAAGAAGGAAACTGCCCTATTAACCCAAACTCTTCTCTCCGATAGGTCCATACGTTACACTCCCATATAAATCGCTGCCTTAAGATAATATAGTCGATTATGTAATTGCACCAAGGAAATAGGCGAATTGTTTCAAAGTTGGCCGGTCGGTTCCACATCGGAAAACATGTCAGATTCAGACAGCGCACCGTGCGCCCACAGAAAGCGTGCGCTTCACCCCTTTCCGTCCCATTATAAAAGGGCATCTTCTGGCGCAGAGCAGGTTCTGTCGCTCGTGGATTTGCTAAGGTGTAATCTGCCGCGGAGGCGGATTTGGTAGTAATACCAGCGGCTGAATGCGTTCGAGAGGGGCCGCATCGTTGGACTCCGTGAAGCCGATTGCCCATTGCGACGCATAACGCGCAAAATGTATAGTGCAGATGTTACCTTTGCACGATGTTTGCAGCAGTGGATTCAAACGGTCGCGTGCCTTTGACGGGAAACGTCTGGAGAGCCCCGAGACTCCATAAGGAAGAACAAGAAGGTTGTCCGATAGGCTGTGAATGAGCGGATGTCCCTTTCGGACATTCGGCACGCAGTAGGACCCACAATGAGACATCCCGTACCCGGCCGCACCATTGCCAGGCGTCTAAAAAGCGCGAGATTACGCTCATGTCGGCCATGCACACGACTGCCCAGAATTGTTCGCCAACGGAAGTAAAGGTTGCAACGGTGTAGTATCAGGGTGGCCTCGCCGGATGTAGACCGGCAGCGAGTGGTGTTCAGCGATGAATCACGCTTCTGACTGGGTGGCGATGACCCGAAAATCCGCTGGTCAGAGAGGACGCACCCTCGCAAACGTCAAATGACACGGTTTATTTTCGAAAGCCAAACATCTCGAACACGTGTCGTGATGTGGGGTGCGATTGCGTACAACGCGAAGTCACCTCTGGTCTTCATTTCAGGCTCATTAACGACACGCAGCTGTGTGTAGGAGTACAACGCCCAGTTGCTCTAACGTTCTTGGATTCATTCTCCGGAGCAATGTTCCAGCAGGACAACATCCGACCGCATCCACAGCAGCCATCGCTAGGAACTGCCTGAAAGCCACTTGTACCATTCCATGGCCCGCAGCATTTCCAGTCCTTCCCTAGTTAACACACGCAGGATGCAATGGAACGCTCCCTGGAGAACGCACCCGCCCTCGCAATATTCAAAGGCATTTCCAAAGGCAAAGTCCATAAAAGGCATGGGACGGCCTATCGCAGGATGCCATCCGACACCTCTATAACTATGTCGCGACGCCTTCTGACCCTTTTCATCGCCTCAGTTCATGTGCAGACATCCAGCCTAAATTTTTTAATTTGTTGAAATTCTTCGTCCCGTTTGGTGCCAATGACTTAAATGATCGGAAAATTATTGTCCTGTATCGTTCCAGAAAACCTTACTTGAAACATGTTTTTGGAGTTTTTAAATACGAGACGAAATAAAACTATTAAGTTCCAGTTGATGAAACTACTATCGTTGAAGGGGAATGTATTGAAATACTATTGTAGGAAAAACATGCCCTGAATCTCCTTCGACACCTCGTCTAAGGACTTGTGAAGTTTCACTAAAATTCAACCAAGTCACAACTGTCAGATTTTTCAAAGATCCGATGAGTCTGCTTTGGCATAGTTGTCTCACTCGTAAACATATGTCGTTTTTAACTGAGCCTGATCCTTGCACACTGAAGAATGAAAGTGAGAGAACATTAAAGGACTTCTACTCAAAGGCGATTCATCTTACTTGCGTAGAACATGGTCTTCTTTGAGTAGCAGAAACTATTTTATATTACTTTTCTGATGTTGATTCTTCGATATCGGCTATTGAAGGATTATTTTTGAAAGCACCAAACAGAGTCAATTATTCTAAACTGAATTTCACACCATTCAAATTACACGACAGTTCTCTTGATTGAAAGCTGCTAAATATTGTTAAAATTTTCAGCAAATAAAATATATTTTATTGAAAATGCACTCAAATTCACCTACGACACAACAAGAAGCAAAATCTTTAATTAATTACTCTAGTTTGGGAAGCAATTTGGCTTACATTTTGGCACATTCAATTTCTGTGCTATCAGAAAACATGAGACTCAAGTTAGCCGTTAGTAGTTAGTACCAGCATTATTTATGGTATATTACCAAATTAACTGTTGTAAAAGGAGAAAACGCAGAAAAAGAAACTGCAGGAGTCATTGAAGAAAAATCCAGGGGGGAGATCCATGAAAATAATCACCAGCTTTCTTATGGAAGGGAACGTCACCTGAACACTGGAACAAGAATAGGACCCAAAGGAGGAATCAAAATTCAAGTACGGCACTCCTTCTGTAGATGTGGAACGGCTGTTCTACGAATTATGCCATCAATCGATTTTCAGTACCAAGGACTCCCAAAACACGGATTCTGACTAACACGTGTCAGAGGAAGGAACTTACAATCTATCAAAAACATTTATCTGCTTTTTCGATATCAGAGCCCGGAATTTTTCTAACGAAAATTCCCCGTTTTCCAGAGTACGATTACAATTCTCTTCTTACGAAGTAAGTGCGGGTTTCATTTGACCATAATGGTGTAAGAAAATAGATTCCATTTGGGAGCCCCCGGAAAAGTGGCTAAAATCCCTTGTTTTCGAGTTATGACGAAATTGCATCATAACGAGTCTTGTGCGTTTGCTTTCCCGCGAGCCTTTATATGCAGACTTCTATTTTCTCCTCTTCAATACGTATGATGCAAGCCAAACGTATAAATGTATGACGGCGATGCAAATATGTATGAATGGATAAAATAATAAATTTATTTTATAGAAAATATTGTTGGATACAAAACTGTGATCAGTGATGGAATTGGAGTCTATCACGTCTATTGCTATCGAATGTTATGAGAAAACTCAATGCGCAAGCAGTGCTGCGGCGATGAGAGGGAAAGAATGCTTACCATCGGGTACGGCCATATCTTCTATGTCTGTTAGGGGTCGGCCACAAGGAGACCGTGCAGGTCCTACAGTGGCTGAGAAGTCAGGGTCTTGACGATCATCAGCACTATCGCCCACGCACGACGTGGAACAGCAGGGACCATCGCCTGAAACAGCCAGACCAGCATAACAGGGACTTCTTCCCTTAGTTATGATGAATACATGGAACAATAATCATCCTCAGGATTGTTAGTGCAATTTATTTACAAAGAAACAAGGACAGACAAATACAAATTCCTGAATAGAACACGTTCATTGGCGTGGTCATACAAACGATAAGGCGGCCTCGGTGATGCCGTAGGCGCAAGGGCGGAGAGTGGTGGCGCGTACTAGCGCGGCAAGACATTGCCAAGCCACAGTCACGAGAGTGCGTGCCTACACGTCACTCGTCGAAGTGACAGTGCGACAAAGCACGCGAGGTTCACCCACATGGAACATCTCGCGCTCCTCCACTCCCTTATCATAGGGCAGGCCGCGGAGCGTGTCCGCTACAACGCCATCTGGCGGCTTCTCTCGCCACTTTATTTGTGGGCCTATTGGTGTCCCCGATACATGTTGAAAATTGTCGTTTCTGAACAAAATCGAGTCGGGACAGAAGAACCGAGTAATGTTCACTTTAGAAGATAGTCTACAGACGGCTGGACGTTCTGAGAAAACACTTTTCAGTACTCGTATCAGAGTACTCCAAATCATTACCGTTAAAATTTCGACATTGATTTTCCTTAGCATTACGTAACGTTCCGTATACTGTACCATCTTCCGTACGTAGGCAAACGTGAAAGTAAAAATTTCTCTCTTCAATACTGTCATTATAGACGACAATATCAGAGACAGTATGCCCAGACTGAAAATTACACACGATCCCGTGACAAAAATGCTTAGACGAGAGAACAGGACACTGATCCCACTAGGACTATACACTGTGGAGACGAATAGACAAGAAATGACTGACATAAAGGCAAAATTAATTCATATTGACTATTACAAAGTAGCACTTGAAGACTACAAACTGACGGACAAAATTTCACAGTGCAAAATCTGCCACATTCTGTATGATACTAAAGCCTATTGTGGACGACCTCGACATGAGCCCACTGCGCAGCATCCCCCCTTCAGAACTCCGCCCCTCCCAAACAAGCACTGACCGATTCTTTGTCCCAACCTGTGCCAATTGCAAAGACTCTCACCATGCCTACAGCCCTACCGGTGCAATCATCACCAAAGCCAGATCCTTCCGACAAGAACAAATTATGAAAACCTAAAACCCCACCCAACTTTCTCAACTCAAACATTCCCTCCCCTAAGACCCCAAAACCTGTCCTACACCTCAGCCACAAACCCATTCCAATCCAGTCCTGTACAACAACCCACGCCATCGACAGCACACAATATCCAAGACCTCATCTCTCTCCTCAGTAACCCATTAGCCAAGGAAATTACCCAAAACCTTCCAATCTTCCTACAGACCCTAAAAGGCCCAGACAACATAACAAACCTCATAACTGCAGCAATCAAACTGATCGAAATGCTCAATTAAAATGGCTCCCCCTCGTCCTATCCCTGTCGTCGTGCAACGTGGGAGGCGGTATAACACGAAAGAAACCTATCTTCACCCAATTCCTCAATGACTATTCCATTGGGATTCTGTTACTACAAGAGACATGGCTGACACCTGACAAACCCTTCTCCATCCCCAACTATATAACTATCCTAACAGATAGAATCTCAGGCCTACATGGCGGCACGGCAATTCTCACCCGACGCTCTATCCTTCACACTCCTTACTCACTGCTTCAAACAACAGTTCTCGAGTGCTCTGCCATCATCATCGGAACTACCTCAACACCGATCATAATAATACCCTGCTATAAGCAATCTAGAATCCCACTAGCCAGATCCGACCTTGACATCCTCAACAACAATCCCTACCCATTTATCATCTCCTCAGACCTCAATAGCAAAGACATCGACAAAACCATAACACACCTCACCTACCTGATCAATCATAACAGAATAGCACCACCTACTCCAAGAAAAAAACACCCCACCCTTCCTGACGAAATACTAACAATGATCAGACACAAACGATAACGTCACTATTACAAATACAGACGAGACGATGGCAAGAAATTACTAAAACAAATACAAAGTTGAATACATTCTTTACGGCAACGACAAGAGACATAAATAAAACTTACTGACGGACAGCAGCAGCCCCAACAGTTTAAATAAGTAATCAGGCAGTGCGCATTTCCCACACCCGTATATCCCCCATCCCAATCAATAACACCCCAACCTTTGATCCCCAAATAATCAATAACACCCTCACCCAATCCCTTGCCGTACGCTTCCTACCTCCCAATATTCCATATCGCAATGTTATCCTCAATTACCTCAAGATCCTCTCAATCCCTCCCGACCCACAAACCTGCACAACGAATGACGTAGAACTAGGACAAATACTTCAAACGATTGGCTGTACTAAGACCCCAGGACCAGATGGACTCTTCCCAACCCAACTAAAGAACATTGCCAGGAATACCATTGTCCTAAGTACCCTTATCGAAAACTCCTGCCTCAAATTATCGTATTTCTCAACCGCCTGGAAGACCGTCCAATGATATGATTCTTAAACATGGCAAGGATCATCGACTCCCCTCAATCTACCGGCCTATTAAATAAATGTCTTTATTGATGGCGAGGGTCAGGCCATTTAGCCTGCTCTTCCGCCTGACCATATTAGCTTTCTTTCAATCCTAAGTAAAAACCTTCAAACGTCCTTCTCCTATCTCCCAATTATAATAAATAACACCCCCATCCCCTGGACCGACGAAGTCAAATACCTACGCCTAACCCTTTCCCAACGACTCTTCTGGTCTAACCATATCCCTGAAATAACCATCAGAACTAATCGTATCACTGGAGGGCTGAATCCCATCCTTACTCATCCAACGTTTCCAGTAAAAAACGTCGACGCCATGATATATACTCGTACATCCGACCTGTCTTCTTCTATCCTACGCTCATCCCATCGGATTTGCCACTTCCCAAATAAATCGAATATAAATAACACCCGCAGAAAACCGTTTATTTATTTACGTAGAAACGGTTAAAAGCTGTGTGTGACGTGATATGGGGACAAGTTAAATTGAAGTTACATTTATGCCCAGAAGCAAAACAAGGGTCCATCTCAGAATTTGCTCAAGGATCAGGAAACTAGATGATGAAAACTTGATCGAGATGGGGGACATTGACCCTGAGGCTGAAGTACAATACTTGTTACAGGTTCTTTACAATTATACAATCCAAATGGTAAATAATACATTAAATGCATTGTTAAAAAATATTACTTTCTGCTCGGTATAGTTTCTAATGTATGAAACATTGTGCAGCAGAACATATTTACTTCAGACGGAAACTTTTGTATCGAATTTATCGTTTAATTTCATTCTGCAAGGTTGTTTGTAAATAATATACATTATTATACGTGAATTTTTTGTCGTGAGGCTGTTGATGTTACTGATGAATATGGTTACTACGTCGAGTGTTGTAGTTATAGACAACGGCCTTTGCTGAAAATATATTCCCGCCCTTAAGTAAGTCATTTTTGACAGAAACCACTGATTCATATTTGAAGAGACAAGGTAAGATACCAACAAGGATCATGTCGGTGGGATTTGCTTAATATTCGTACGATTCTTTTTTGTAATCTAAAAGTCTTGGAGCTATTAGATGTATTTCCCCAGAATATTATGCCATATCTCAGGTGGGAATGAACATTCGCGAAATATCCACAACGTGCACATTGGAGGCTGACTGAACTTGAAAGAATTCTCAAAGCGTAGCATAAAGAACTAAATTTAGTATTCAATTCATTTACATGGACGTTCCATTTAAGGTTTGACTGAATTGAAAGATCTAAACATTTTGTTACCTTAACATCAGTCAATGGCACACGGTTCATTTTCAATGGAGTACAGAGCTGTTTATTTGAAATGGAAAACTGCATCTAAACGTTTTCATTTCATTTACTATTAATTTGTTATTACAGAACCAATTTAAAATATCTGATATTGTACTATACATATACAAATATCTGATATTGTCCTCCCCACCATATTCCACCCAGCCATATACACCTTCAACTCCCTACATCCTTACATACCTACATCACTCATAAATAGCATGCATAAGAAAATATATCAATATTCCGAAACCTAATCCTACCCCATCACCCATCTTCCGAAACTCACTCCGATCAACCCGAAAACAACACCCACTCGACATCCTTTAAATCTCTCTCCTTGTCACTTCAGCCAGAGGGTACACTTGAAGAAGCCACGTACAAAAATGCATTCGAGATGCTCCCTCTTCTGTTTGCACGTATTGTACATTACAAAATTTGTAAGGGTGCAATCCTTCATTGTAAAACAAAAACAACCAACCGACCAGAGCTTTCTAAAGTGGTTGATGGATTTTCTTCGGTTTCTCTTACAAGAAAGAAAGTTCCTCCTTTCGAATGTGGACTGACTGATTTTAGCTCAGAGCATAGCCTCATATTGCCGCTGACTGTAGCGACTGTGAAAAGATGTCTTACGGCTCTGTTCGGCAGGTGGCGGATTTTCGGCTCTACCTATACCGCCAGCAACATTCATTTGATGTTGGCAGAATAATGCTACCGGACGGGAGCTTTGATCCATGGTTTCTCCGATTAATACCAAGAGAATGCCGAATCACTAACCGCGCGATCTTTCCTTCATCTTTCTAGTTCTATCCTTACTTACACTTTCAAGCAACAAGGAAATACTTTTATCGAAAGACTAGTCGGGACTTCAGTGTGATCTGGGTGGTGCTCCGCTGAATGAGATACCTAGAGGAGGGGATTTCTCTGGAAGCCGGCGTATAGATCGGTGCTAGATCCCACCATCCATCGGGGGAGGAACGTCGCATCCCCAAGCATAAAAACACTGAAGAGACTAATGACCACAGCAGTTGACGTGCGCGGAAACAAACCTATCAATATTCGAATCTGGAGAAATGCCGCTTTCGGAGTTCATGTATAATGAACCTTTTTCTCGCAACCTTATGAAGGTGTTAATGAAGACGCTTCTATTCGTAAAATACGATTTGGAAATAGTCTGTGAAATTTCAATATCACAAACGTCGGTAACATACATTGTGCTTGCGTATTCCTTGTGACTGGAAATTAGTGGTCTTTTAATGTAAAATGCACGTCGAAGTATTCGAACGTAGACAGGAAAGATAAACACGCAGACGATTCCATTTCTCAGCGTTTTTCAAAAGAAGTATCAATGGCATGATGATAAATGTGCCGTTTATACATTTTGAAAGGGTTCCATCTCTTAAATGCGTCAATACTTATTTACGGCATGTGTTATAAAAAAAAAAAAAATAATCCCCATTTTTTACCAAAATTCACTGGCATTTTTGTGGCACACTTGCTCAGTTTACGGGGCCCTCCACAACCTTCCGAAGGAATATATTTCAAATCCAGCTTATTTCGATTTAAAAGTGGCGATGACATATGCCGTTCCTCTTATATCCAGTGTGACGCAGGTTTGTTGAAAAATCATCACAGATGAAATGAGCCGGTACTGTCAGGAAATGCATCATTCAGGGATTAACGCTGCCGATCATTTTCACACACTCACACTTACCGCAGTCGAGACGCGCCCTCTTGGACGCGTGGGTGGAGCGGCGGCGCGGCAGAGATACGAAGTCGTCGTCATCGCCGTCGCCGAGGGCCGAGGCGTCAGGGGTCGGCTTCCCGCGTCCACACTGCGGAGTGGACGCTGCGATGGGCCTGGCGCAGGCGAAGGCGGCGGAGTCGGTGGCGGGGGCCTCGTCGCGGGCAGTGGTCGCGCAGGACGTAGCAGGGGCTATTCCTCCGCAACTGGCATCTCCCACGCTGATGTTACTGACATTTGTTTGATCTGAAACATGACAGGAGAAGGTGAAGATTTAATGACCAGGTCAAATCCAATCAACAATATTTTAATGATCCGTGGGTAATCTATCGATCTTGTTAATGTCATATGAGTCATTCCATGTCAAATCGAACACCGTTTTGACCTTAGGTGTTCGAAATTGAATGAAAATTACTGAATGTGTTCTGGGGGTAACTAAAAGAGACTTAAATGTTTTGTTACAATTTTACTTAGTTATTTTGGAATTTATTCCGCATGAAATTTTTCTACAAACCGCGCGCACCAACAAATAAAAATGCTTATTTCTCCTGCCAGATAGTGCTGAATTGAGATTAGTCTGAAATAACAGTTCAAACACACGTCATTTAAGACTATTTATAATTTGATTTAATTGGTAATTATCAATACTTCATTAAATCTCAATTAATTTTTAAAATTTCACTTTTACAAATTTCGGAAAAATAAAATTTTATTTTAAAAATAATATTGTATTCTCAATTTAATGAACTTCAAATGTACAACATTTCAAATTGGGATATTTATTAATAAAGTAATTAAAAAATATTAATTGAACGAGTGTGCAGCAACATGGATGTTTCAAGCCCCTGTCAACCTTGTGAGCGCCCTCATCAAGGTTTCTGCCAGTATTTGTTTCACTTTTCGTGAGTTCGGTTCCACCACAGCCGCGTCAGGACGAATTCGATCTACAGGACAAGACACTTCTTCCGGGAGATTCAATTTTATTTGTTTTAGAGGAGAAATAAGTTTAAACAAATGTAAATCGTGTTTATTGCAGGTTTTACATAATTTGTGTTAGACTTAACACAATGAGTAATATCAAACAGCTAAAACAAGACTTTAATTTTAATACCTTTAATCTCAAAAATCACTGTGATAGATATAAGAAAAACTTTTGACGTGTGACATCCTATTCCATCGTCATTCAAAATTCAGTTCAAGGAGCACATTGGAATAAAGAATCAGAAACACTCTTCAACCCTTCGTTATATATTGCAAATATAAGTCATCTAAGTCACAAAAGTGTAATAAATTCTGACAGCACAAATACACAACTGATGGCACAAATACAGTTCACCTCTTCCAGAAACATTAGATTTAATTTCTAAAAGTTGTAATAGGTAATGTCAAAAAAGTAATATTTTTCACATGAAGCAAGTCCGCAATATAAAAACCGAAAAAAGTTTGTCATTTTATGTATTCACGAAAAAGATTTTGGTATGATTTCTGAATAGCATGTCTTGTTACTTCCCATGGCAAAAGGACTAGTAATGGAACTGGCGGCATCACCTAGAGGTTGGGTACGCGAGAAACTCTGTTGCCATTTCATGATCCAGTTACGACACTGCAGAAATTATTCGAATGTCAGAATTATCTATGTTTTTGACAATTGAAAAATAATGGCATTAAAAACCCGGTATGAAAAAGTGAAACTAGTTATAGAAAAATACACTTTCGTGGATATTTTGTTTTATTAACTTTGAACTTTTATAATATGTGTATTAATGAATGAATGAATGAATGAATGAACGATTATACGTCAACTACTATTTCTACAATTTGAACTACTCATTCCGAACATTCTCATTTTAATGATAAATTCACTGAGTGCATTTGACTTCATACGGCGCGAACCTGAATGCCCCTGTCCTCCACATGCTGGATGTTCGATTGGGAGAGTTAATTATTTCAACAGTATTTATGCACATCCCATTTTGAAATTTCGCATAATCATACAATAAAAAGTAGAGAATTTAGTGATTTTACTTTTAAAAGTTTGCAAACTTTAAAAAAGTTAAAAAGCTACGTAAAATAAACAATTTTAATTTTTGTATAATTTCAGAACAAATATAACAAAAAGTCGAGTTATAATCTATAAAATGATGATACTTTGAATTTTTCACTTTTTAATAAAGGAGATATTAGCATTTATCTAACACAGTACGCGCGCTAGTTTGTAATTTTTCAATTTCAAGTTACTATAAAATGACTTTTATGAAAATAAAAAATAAATAAATTAAAAAAACAACATGTGAGTTGTTTTTGCCATTCGAATGGACACCCAAAGTATAATAAAATCAAAAACATCAAGGTCAATTTTTCGTCGAATTCGAAAATAGGAGAAGTAAAATTTATTCTATCACGCTGCTTTAACCTCTACAATATCATGTAACCGCTAATTCGCTTTGTAAGCGTTTTCCTTGTACGAGAAATTTGCATTGATAAACAAAACGCATGCCAGTTAAGAAGTGTTGCCAAACAGAAGGAGAACCACGTGATCGATCTTTAATTACAACTTAGAAAGTTTCAACGTGAAATACGTTATTTACAGGGAGTAATGGAGATATTCCATTCTTGTCCATTCGGAAGAGACAAAACAAGAATGAACAAATAAGGCAAATTCAATTCAATTCAACATTAAGACCAAATATGTGTCTCAAAACGAGGAGCAGAGTTCGGTCATCCAAATGTCAATTGGTTCGCGCCTTAACAATGATTCTGACAGGGTTCAAAATACCTCTCGGAATATTTTGAAAATATAATCAAAATTTGTCGTACTACCATTATAAATATAGATAAATACAAGGAAATATAGACAAAAGTGAGGCATTGGGGACTCGAGATTACGGAAATGCGAATAAAATTAATTTGGGTACTATATTGTAAAAATTAGAAAAATATTTTTATTCAAGAAAATAATTTTACGTAATACATTCTTAGGTAGACAAAATATTTTGGAGGTACAGCCGTGATGGTAACAGAATAGCATCAAATTAAGAAGTAAACAAGAGAGACAGAGAAGCGAAGACGAGTTGCCAAAACGAATGTAAAGACAAAACGTGACGTGTCTCGATTAGAGTAGGCTTGGCCTGTATGATGATGGAAAGAAATACTCTTCCTGACTTTTGCGGTAACTGCGGTAACTATATGTAAATCATGTGTTAGGAAATCAAAGGTGTTAGCAGAAAACGTATTTGGATATGGATAAATACGTTCATTATGGGCATTTGTACGAAAACCTAGAAATACTTTCGCAGCTCCAACTTTCTAGATTTCTCATCAAAACACAGCATTTTCTGAAACAATCGAACCACAACAGAAGGAATTCTTTACCGTTCTCCATCCAGCATCCATCTCGGAACTAATCTATTGCTACCATCCGACGCCCTGTGGACTGTATCACCCTGCCCGGCCCCCATTCCTCGTCCGTCCCGACGCAGTTCAGACCAGAGAGAGATAGAGAGATGGATTCGTTCATTGTTTCGAAATATCACGCGATTTCACGAGCCAACGGGCGCCCCGTGCTTGGCCTTTTGAACTCCCGCCGCCGAGCGCCGCGAGTAGTGGAGTGGCGAGGCACAGCGAGAGGAGGAGAGGGGGCGGGACAGTGTGCGCGATGTTTCCAACTAGCGTCACAGCAAGGGGTGACCGCAATGCGCCTCCCGCCCGCACAGGGCTGTCCACTGGATTGGCAAACTAATATGACTTTCACGAAATTGAAGGCGAAGCCGAGGTATAAACGTGAATATAGAAAGAACTACTCTTTCATCTAATTTACTTCTTCCCACAACTCCTCATACGATGTTTCAATAAACTTGAGAAGGGTGCCAGGACATTTACGAAAATATTTCCAAGATAACCAAAACGAGCAAGCCTAGGGCCAGAAGCAACCTTGAGTCGCAGCAGGTGATACATTCTTGCGCAAAACCAAGCGTTCCTCTTCACATAGAACGAGGATTTGCGATATCCCACCGGTAGGCACGCGACAGCGTCCTCAAGACACCCCGTGACTCGCCGGTCCCACCTGCTCTCCATCCCGTACGCGCACTTGGCTCATTCTTTCATCTGCTCATTCGTTCGTTTGTTCGTTCACTCACTCGCAAACATGCCCGCTCGCCTCTTAATGATGATTATTTTGTTTCTGAGTGAGTAAAAAAATACAAAATGGGGCTATGTTCTTTTGTCCTGTAAGGGCCGCTTTCATCAACAGCCGAGTAAAGTTGAGAGTAGTTACCCGAGAGTAATAATTTACTCCAAGATAGTAACTCTCGAGTAGAATTATGACGGTTTCACCATGCTTCTAGAGGGTTATTTTACTCTAGGTACATACTCTCCTATTTACTCCGCAAATCAGCTGAACACACATATTTGAGATATTTAAAGAGGCTGTGAGCGAGAATGACGCTGGAACCAATGCGGACCAACGCGGACTTTGACTAATTCCTTATATTCTATATTTCATTTCAGTTTCGGAGTTTTGGCGTTATAATCTGGGTGTGGTATGGTGGTTTGAATTAGCATAGTTTATTTCCTAATTTCTGTATATTATTTCTTAATAAATATTCATTCTTCTTCTCTGAGACGAGTTACTATTTTTTAGCAATGAAGAAAATCAAATTTGCAGTTCGTTTACCGATGGCGGTGCAAATTATTTCTATAACTAGGAACAAAAAAGTTTTTTTCTCAAATGTTGCTGATCTCGTGTTTTTCTAAATTTATATTATTATTTGTTTGTTATTTTTTTAACTTTATTCACCTTTCAACAATTTGTAGTTAAAATGTTGGAAAGGATTCTGGAACTCAAAGAAACTGGGCAAATATCTCCCCGTACGTCACATACAGTTTTACTGATAAAAAAAAAATAATATTTCTTAGAACTTGTACCTTAATTATTATTTTCCTTTGTTGTCGTATTCGGTACGTACTACTTTATTTCGTATCCACATGGGGAGAAAAAACTTTAGAAGTTCGCTACAGTTTACAATGTATCTGATTGAAGTTAAACAGCTGATTTTCGTCAAACATAACTCATGACAAATCTCATCGGTCATAATTAAAACCATCCATCTCTCTCCACCCTTTGTTCTTCGCACTAGTGGATAATATTCCGAATCATTGCTGGAATCGTCTACAAATACTATCATTCGTAATCGTCGAACGTAACAACACTTCGGAGGTACATGACGTTGAAACTGAATTTACTCCGTACTTACCCGACGGATTTTCGCGTGTAAAGTTACTTCGTGTAAGCATTTTACACTCGAGTAAATGTTTGTGTGAAACGCCTCAAGAAGTTACTCTCAGTAAACATATTACTCCAGAGTAAACTCTTACTCTTTGTTGGTGAAACGGCCCTAATCATATATATCTGCCATGGGGCACCGCCTCAGCCAGTGAAAGCTCTAAAATCCTGACTGGGCCCTCGCATATGTGGTGTGCATGTAAATGATGTTGATACGTATGTATAGGAAAAGGAGCGGTGAATGATGAAGGAAAGATCCGCCGCGGCCTGTAAGCCCGTTTGTTATGTACTGTTCCAGCAGTCGCCTGGTATTCATAGGAAAATTTAGGAAAACTACTCAGAAGAACAGTGCGCGCTGTCTGAAGAAGCTTCGTAGCGGCTTGATTCCACCTAGCTACACAGAGTCGAAAAATCGCCACTGTCGGAATTCCAACTCTCGGACACCCCGGTTAGAGTCCTGTAGTGGAAACAGAGTTTGCCCTAGGCTAACTCAGATGGTTCGCCTCTTAACTAGTCGTCATCCACACAACTCTCTGTACAGAGCGGCGAGTACGTATGCATTCGCAGTGACGAGGAGCAAGGCAGGCAGGGCAGCAGGGCCCCCGCGTGCGCAACCCACACGCATCGCCGCGACGCGCGCAGCGGCCACGATGTGCCACGCAATGGGAGAGCGCGAAACTTGTCATCGTTCATACATAACACACACAACCACACCTAAAAGCCGATTGCGTCAGCGGTTGGCTTTTGCGACCGTTTTTTCCCGTTCTTTTATTGTATTTATTTCAGCGTCCCTCTATGATCCCGTCAGACTAGCGGGTAGTGGTAGGGGTGGGGTGGGTGGGGAGACAGAAGCCATGGTGCGCGGCAATCGTTTCCGTAGTCGCACTCACGGCAAAGGCAGCGGCGAAGGGTACTTCTGATGCGACACCAAAGTGGGTTGCTCGCTCAAAATCATAATAATGGTAGGTGTAGACGCAGATTCAACGGAAATGGCATTAAGCGGAAGTTTTGTTTTTCTGCTGCTGTAAAATACTCGCCATTTTGGCATTTTTTTTAAAAACAAGAAGCATTACCTGAAATACACATGTACACTAAAACTAAAGAAAAGACAACTAGTACAAAACAAAATCAAACCATCTAATTCTATCATTGTTAATTAAACATTTTCAATTACAATGTCTTTCACAGTTGTGGAATTTATATTTTCATAAAATTACTGACGTTATCAAAACGTGTTAAAATCACCTCACAGAATAACTAATTTCGACACGGAAGTTCCTTTCCGTCGCGTACTATATTTAGGTAAATAAACTGACAAATATTTGCAGAAAGTTAAGATGCATGTAATATCAACTATAAATGTCTAAAAATTATCAGCAACTAGCAAATAAAAATCCATTTGACCAGATTGGGGTGCGATATTATTCATTGCGCCCAGGTCTGAGAACTCCCGTCTGTATAGCCACCAAGTATTACACCCCACAGGTTATCTGAGCGCATTTGTCACAATTTTTGACCTAAGACCTACATATAAAGTTAATTAAGCACAAAATTTTAGAATTTCAAACAAAATATTTTGTGAATTGTATAAACAAATTAATTATAAAGCCTTCTTTTGTTACTCACGTAACATAAACATCTTATTCCTATTATTTATACTTACATCATTTTCTTATTGCCAACATACGTTGCTATTTACACAAACAAATTTTAAATACAATATTTAATACTTTAGATCAAAGAAACTAGTCACAATTTGCTCGCAACTTCCTTTCCCAGGAAGGAAGAATTATATTATAAATGTATCCATCTTTTCTGAAACTTTGTAAGACTTGGAATTAATTCAACTTTGTTTCATTATTATTTATAGAACATATCAAACTAATGCAGAAAAACGTGAAAACATTGAAGTGCAAGAATGCAGTTTCACTTCAACATAATTTAGCCTGAACAGAAAACATACCAAGAACTCATTTCGAAGCGTAGAGCGGAAGACATGGTGGGTTTTGCGAAAAAGGACGTGCGAACCGATGGCCAAAAACTAGCGAACATATTCGCGAAGGATTCTCGAATCCGGATCCAGAGCCGTGACCCACCCGGTGACGCTCTCAACGCGAAACCATGCTTCGTTCAGAGGCAACGGCGAGCACAGCATTTCTACTTTTTTTGCGACCGACCTGTTTTCACCAGAGAAAAGCAACCCCACGTGCGAACACCGGAAAAGCGAGCGCGCGTTGTTTCCGCGGCTTCGACGGCCTGTTATTGCATACCACGCGGCCGCGCCGCCGCCGCCGCCGCCCCCCCGGCCGACGCACGAACTCGGCGCAGGAACTCATATAACTTCCCGAAAAGCGATTGATTTGGCGGCGCCGCGCGCCGCGCGCGCACAAGCGTGGGCGGTGCTGGGGATGGGGGAGGGGGGCGGGTCGAAGCCGAGGCGAGTGAGTGAGGGGCGGGGTGCGACACCGGCGGCGAGCAGGCGAGCGCGTCCTGACGCCCGCCCACGATCGATGTCGCGCTGCGAAGGTTCACGGAGGAGCGAGAGGGGGTGTGCAGTTCGGTCAGAGGCGGGGACGGGCGGGTAGGGGCTGGGCGGCGGACCCCAAGCGGCGCGGTGGCAGAAGTCACGAGAGCGAGTGTATGGGCGAAATCAGCGGCGGGAGTTACAATATGAAGAGACACTCATAAAAAAGAAATTACACACGACAGAAGAGTGGGGCTGAGGTACGGAAGGGAAACACGTAACACGTAGAAAGAAAGTTGCGAGAAAGAGGGCAAAAAAATAAGGGTACGATTTGATGATGGAGAAGATTAATTACGATAAATGAAAAAAAAGGGTAACCTACTTGGGTGTGTACATAGTACTAGAAATATATGTAGTATCTCTAAGGGTGCAAAGTGACAGTGGTCACATCAATCACATTCCACGTAGACGTTATCATAGGTTTTAGGCTTCAATACTGAGGATGTACGCATAATAGATACGTACATACTCGTATGTGAAGTTACATATGTAACGGAGGCTCGTACGTTTCTTATAATAGCAGTCCTCAAACGCTGGGCCCGGCACGTACGTATAACTTGGGAAACAGGCCCCTCAAGCTTATTTGTCATTTTCGGTTTCCTAGTCAGCTTTTAAAAATATTTTACATGAATGATGTTTACAAAGTATCGGGGATTTAAAATTGAATACATTGAACTATTACAATTTTTTATTGCTGATGAGTTTAGAAAACTATTTCGTGAATGGATCTTTTGAAAACTTAAAATACTTTTCTGCTAATGTGACGACTGCTCTCATGCTACAGCTGTTTTTAGATATTTTTTCTATTGTTACCTGGGTTCAGGAGTAATCGTGAAGATGTTACAAACTGTTTTCTAGTGTGTAACTTTCGTGTCTTTGGATTTATCTGTTATTCTTCCTTATTTATCTTACAACCTTAATGAAATATAACGAAAAAAATGTATAGTGAAATTTAGATTGATTGGATTGTTGATTTTATATTAGTTTAGGTTACTGATCAAAATGTTTACCGTTAAATGTTCTCGGCTCAGGAGGCTGAAAAATGCTATTTCATAGTAAAAATGGTATATATTAGATGATACGTTCGTACACAAGAGCTTGGTTTTTCCCTACGTGGCCTTCAGCCGCCAATCATTTGCATTGAAGATT